GCTATATAATTGGGTTGGGTATGTGGCTCAAGTGGTAGAATGACTGCCTAGAAAGCACAAGGCCCTGAGTAACACACACACACACACACACACACACACACACACACACACACAGATTAAAAAGAAACTATGAAAACACACAATGATGAGGGCAATATTGTTTTTTTTTCAGTATTGAGTTCAGGTTTCACACTTGTTAAGCTACCACTTGAGCTACCTCCTTTTTGGTTATTTTTGAGGTTAGGGTTATTGTTTTATGCCTAAGCCAGACTGGATTGCAATCCTTCTATCTGTGCTTTCTTTTGTCTCTGGGATGGCTAGTGTGTATCACTGAGCTCAGCCATTGTGCTTCCCCCATAGCTTAGGATGACAGACCTGTCACCTGTTGAGATAGTCTCTTAAACTTTTTTTTTTCTTTTGTTGGTTGTGGGGCTTGAACTCTGGGCCTGGGCACTGTTCCTCAGCTCTTCAGCTCAAGGCTAGTGCTCTACCACTTGATCCACAGCACAACTTCTGGTTTTCTGATGAGATAAGAGTCTCATGGCCTTTCTACCTGGGCTGGCTTTGAACTGTGATCCTCAGATCTCAACCTCCTAAGTAGCTAGGATTACAGGTGTGCGTCACTGGTGCCTGGCTAATCTCTTAAAAGTTTTTTTTTTTAAGTTTTAAATTATATTTTAAAATGAACACCAGGAAATGAAAACAAAGAGTTTCCCCCCCTGTTGGTAGTGGGTCATTAACTCTGGGCCTGGGAGCTTTCCCCGAGCTTTTCAGCTTAAGGCCAATACTCTACCACTGGAGCCACAGCACCACTTCGGGTTTTCTGCTGGTTAATTAGAGATAAGAGTCTCACAGACTTTCCTTGCCCAGGCTGGCTTTGAACTGTTATACTCAGGTCTCAGCCTCCAGAGTAGCTAGGATTACAAGTGTGAGCTACTTGCGTCTGCATGTCAGCAAAACAGAGTTTTTGTCTTTGTTTTTGTTTGCTTTTTGTCTTGTTTCTCTGACTTTGGAGGGTAAGCGCGGGGGGGGGGGGACACAGAAATGGAAGGACAAAGGGTGAATAAATGTAACAGTGGAACTTGTTAGCATTATGCCCACCTTTGGTCCTAAGTTCCACCCATACGTGAGATCCTCCCTGCTCTAGAGTTTCCACGAACAGCTGGCCACTCCCTCTCTCTGTCCAGACCCACCTGAGCACAAGCCTACCTCACTTCCTGCTCCCAGACCCTCCTGCTATCTGAATAGGGATGGATGCCATGTGCTCCCTCCTCAGGGAAAATGGCTCCTCTAATAAAGCTTGTAGTAATCTTTCTCGTGAGCCTGCTTGCCTCCGGGTGTCCCCTGGGATGGACATGAAGGATCCCTTCAGTACTCACTAGAAAATAAACTATACAACTTGTGGGTGGGGACGGGAGAGAGCAAGGGAAGAGGTGACACTGTCCAAAAAGGAATATATTCTTATTTGGGCACTGGTGGCTCACACCTGTAATCCTAGCTACTCTAGAGGCTGAGATCTGAGGATCAGGATTCAAAGCCAGGGCAGGAAACTCTGTGAGACTCTTATGTCCAATTAACCACCAGAAAACAGGAAGTGGAGCTGTGGCTCAAGTGGTAGAGTGATAGCCTTAAGCAAAAGAACTCAGGGACAGTGCCCAGGCCAACAAAAAAAAAGAAAAGAAAAAAAATGTCGTCTTTATCTGACATGTAACACCTCTGTACATCACCTTTATAATAACAATTTAAAATTAAAAAAAAATGCTCAGAGACCGTGCCCAGACCCTGAATTTAAGCCCCAGGACTGAAGTGCACACACACACACACACACACACACACACACACACACACACACACAATATGTGTTTGCAATCCTAGTAGGGCTTTGTTAAGCAAGCATGTGACCATTGAGCTAAATCACCAGCCCTGAGAAAGTAATTTCTAAACTGGGCACCAGTGGCTCTCCCCTGTAATCCTAGCTACTCAGGAGGCTGAGATCTGAGGATTGCAGTTCAAAGCCACCTGGGCAGGAAAGCCCATGAGACTCTTATCTCCTATTAACCACCAGAAAACCAGTAGCGGTGTTGTGGCTCAAGTGGTAGAGTTCTAGCCTTGAGCTGAAGAGCTGGACAGTGCTCAGGCCAAGTTCAAGACTCATGCCCTCTCCACCCCCCCAAAAAAAGAAAGAAAACTTCTAAGAAGAGGTGCCTGAATCTATCCAATTTCACAATCTGTTAATAGATTAAATTGCTCAACTTCATTGGACTAACCAAATCTTAGAGGACCTGTACACTTATCCCTATAATCTTCATTTGTAACATAAAGAATGAAATGAAATTTAGAGGATTCACACATTTTCCTAAGAAAAGAGTTTTCATAGTGTAGATTTTCTTGCACGTAGATCCTGAAACAAAGATTTAGACTTAAGTGGTCCATTTGGAAGGTATCCCAGAAATTCAAGCAGTATAAAGAAATACTAATAAAAGATAATCAAAAGTGTTTTGGGAAAGTGGAACTGAATCTCATTGCTATTCAAAGAATAGTCTATGATGCTGGCCACATCAGTGTATCCTAGGAACTCAATTAGAAAAGCAAATTCCTGGGGGGGGGTGAGCAAGGGAGGTAGGGGAAGGAAGAGATAGTGGGAGAACAAGAGAAGGGGTAACAATGCTGGACAAGAAATGTGTTCATTGCCTTACTCATGTAACTGTAACCCTTCTGTACAGTATCTTTACAATAAAATAAAATTAAAAAAAGAAAAGCAAATTTTTAGAAGAATCTATCTTATTACTTTCTCTAAGTGATCCTTGTATGATAGTTTTTTAAATTTTTCTAATTTACTTTGTTTTAGAGATGATATACAGCAAAGTTACACTTACCAATGTCAGGTAATAAGAACATTTCTTTTCACATAGTGTCATCTGTTCCCTCATTCTCTCCCATTCCCCCCTCCCATCTCCAACTACGAGTTTCATAGTTTACTTTCATCAATGTCCAGCACAGCCAATGTGTTCCATTGCTATACTTTTTCACCCTCTGATTCTGTGCCCTCCCCCCATTAATTATTATTATTATTGCCATTCCCAGGGCTTGAACTCAGGGCCTGAGCACTGTCCCAGAGTTTCTTTTGCTCAAGGCTAGTGCTCTACCACTTAACTATAGTGCCATTTCTTGCTTTTATTTTGTTGGTTGTGGGGTCTGAACTCGGGGCCTGGATGCTGTCCCTCAGCTCTTCAGCTGTAGACTAGCGCTCTACCACTTGAGCCTCAGCCCCACTTCCGGCTTTTTCTGCTTATGTGGTGCTGAGGAATTGAACTGAGGGCCTCATGCATGTAAGGCAAGCCCTCTACCACTGAGCCATCTTCCCAGCCCCATTTCCTGCTTTTTGTGTGTATGTGGTACTGAGGAATTGGACCCAGTACTTCATGCATGCTAGGCAAGCACTCTGCCATTAAGCCACAATCCTAGTCCATAAGGTTATTTTTTATTGTTAAATACCCAGTCTCTGCACACACTTGAGTTAGCAGTTTCAAGAGTATCACCTGAACTCATGTGTTTACCACTTCACAGTCAGGTAGATTACTGATTCATTCCTAGAGACTGTGTATGTGCTGTTTAATGCTGTAGTCACTTGGTGCATGTTAACTTTTGAGCTCTTGGAATGTTCCTAGTTGGAACCAAGGAAAAAAAAGTCAGCAAAGGAATATTATTAATATCAGTGATCACATGCTGAGGAGCCACTGAATATTTTGAGTTAAATAAAATATATTGCTAAAATTAATTACACTTGTTTTAAAAATGTCAAATTGTGAAGTGTGGCTCACAATATATACCTATTGAACAGCAGTGGTCTAGAGTGCAGTACTTTATTTTTTATTTTTATTTTTTGGTCGGTCATGGGGCTTGAACTTTGGGCTTGGGCGCTAGCCCTGCGCTCTTCAGCTCAAGGCGAGGGCTCTACCACTTGAGACACAGTGCCACTTCCGGTTTTCTAGTGGTTTATTGGAGATAAGAGTCTCACGGAATTTCCTGCCAGGGCTTTGAATCGCTATATTCAGATCTCAGCCTCCTGAGTAGCTAGGATTACAGGTGTGAGCCACCGGTGCCGGGCTTACAGTACTTTAAGAGAGAGCTTCAAGAAGGAAAAAGGAATTCCTTTTAGTTTTTATTCCCTTCTGTTTCTCTTTTAGCTTGCTAATCAACGATGTTTAAAACCACCATCTGTTTCTGATTCTCATAGTCTGCATCTGAAATTGTTTGAAAGCAGAGAATCAAAGTCCTACAACTAAGGGTAGAAAGAGGCAGTAAGGATGTGTCCACAGAACTGCAAGCAACAGGTGCAAAGTACAAATGGAACAGTGTCCTTGAAAATTGTTAGTGCAGGGCACCACGGATCAGTGTGTGTGTGGCACCAATAAGATATATGTGTGTATATACAAAATACGTGTGTGTGTGTGAAACCAAATACCTTATACTAAGGTCAGGGAAGACCTTGTTGAAAGAAGGTAATGAGATGAGAAAAGTCAATTTCTGGCCTATTCTCTCCATCTCCCAATTACTCTGCAAAGAGAAGAAGAAAATGACAGGAAATAGGAACTTGACCTGAAAGGGACAGTGTTCTAAGTTTGAGGAAGTTGGCCAACGTCTTAGGGATCCCTGGAGTGATGACTGTCGGGCCGGCCTCCATCACTTCCCCAGCAGGGACAGACCATCCCGCCTGACTGCAGTTTTCCCTCTTGGGTCAACCGAGGCTTTCTTCACACTCGAGCCCCACCTCCACACCTTCCCAATCCTGGCCCTAGAAGCGCCTCGCGGCCGCCATTTTACACTTCACCACTATCGCGAGATATCCTCACAGCCGACTCCAGCCGGACTCGTTTACTTTCTGGCGAGAGCCTCTTGGCGGCTGTTCTCACCGAGCTGAGCCAAGTGTCGCGAGAGCTGGTTGCCTTGGCTCCCCGTAGCTATAGCAGCGGCGGCGGCGGCGGCGGCGGCGGCGGCAGCGGCGGTTGAGGATGCGGCGCGGGAGCGGTGAGTGCGACACTCTCAGGGGGCGGGGTCGGAGGTAACGGGGTGCAGGGGGGAGGGTATCGCTTGGGGAACCGGGCGGGGGTGTGTGTGAGTGGGTGGACAGTCGGGGCGCGCGGGAAATAGGCCTGACAGTGACGTGTGGGGCTGGACCTGCGTCTCGTGGGCACAGGGGCAAGACAGGGCGCCGGTGTGTGGTGGGGCACGCGGGGAAGGCGGGAGCTGCTGGAAGGAGGGGGACCGGAGGGAGGGACCCTGGTGTGGTGGGGTTCGAGGGGCAGGGGGTGGGGTGCGAGGAGGGGTGCGTGTGTGTGTTGGGAGCTAGGAGGTTAAAAAAGGACTTGGAACTGGATAATGGGACAGGGCTGCCTCGGGTAAGAAGTAGGAAGAAATGGGGGTACCTCGAGGAGGAGGCGGTTATGTTGAATGGGATCCCGGGGGGTCGGGCCCCAGTTTGTGTTTGGGGCGAGAGGGAGTAGCGGGGAGGATCAGACCTTTGTAGCTCCCCTGGCTCCGCCTAAGGCGTGTGGAGAAGAGCGCGCCCAGGACCTAGGTCTAAATGGCGAGGCGGGAATGGTGGCATCCCGGACCCTCACCGCCTGTCTTTCTTCCTTCTTTCTGAAGAAATAACCTGACGGACCGTGACAATGCCAGAGTCCCGAAGAACTAGTATTAGTTGGGAAGGTTCGTTCGGCGGAGAGACTAAATGCGAAGAACGAATAGTCGTATTAAAACGTGGGGAAGGGGCGAGAGAGGGAGAAATTCTTGAGAATACAAAACAGAACTGACTCACCCCTCCCATCCTAGGGTGTTTTTCCTATGCAGTTTACTGATTGGAAGAAGAGAGAGAGAGAAAGAGAGAGAGAGAGAATATGAGTGTGAGCGCGCGCTAACATGCTATGGTTCTTCCCAGATCCATTCAAGTGTAGAGTTTCTTTACGATATACTTAGGAAATTATGTATGCAGCGTTAACTCAGTTTAGATGGTACAGAGAAAGAATATGCAGTACAATACTTAAACCTTTCACAAATAGAACTTAGGAAAATTAAGAAAAATGTTTCTGTTGCAGCAAGGGTTGAACTTTAAATCTAGGGATGGTTTTAACTTTGGTATGAAACCTGTCTTACAAGGTGCTTAGATTGTTTACCTTTTAGAAAATGGATGAGTTTTTATTTTTAGAAGATTGAACTTTTTTTTTTTTTTGTCGGTCGTGGGGCCTGAACTCTGGGCCTGAACGCTGCCCCTCAGCTCTTCAGCTCAAAGCTAGTGCTCTACCACGTGAGCCACAGCACCACTTCCCGCTTTTTCTGCTTATGTGGTGCTGAGGAGTCGAACCCGGGGCCTCATGGATGCAAGGCAAGCACTTTACCTCTGAGCCACCTTCCCAGCCCCTGAACACATTTTCCATATTTGTCAACATGAAAATAAAAGCAGTCTCCTAGGAGTTAAAATTACCCGGAGAGGGAAATAGTCTTTTAGTCTCCAGGACTCTTTTCTGGAGCCAGATTTGGAACATTTGTCTCCTTAACTCATTTATAGTGAAAAACTATGCTTTCAAGTCAAGCGTAAAAAGTGTATTCATTTTAATCTACAGATACAGCTTTCCAATCATTTGTCTCTCTATTGTATGTAGGAAATAGCAAGGGATAACCTTTATTTTGATTATATAACTGGATTTTACCATGTTGAGATTCACAAATTCATTAATTAGAATAATGGCCTTTAAATCCTTCTTGAGCTGGCCTAGATGTGGTTAGTCATTGAACCCATTTATTTGGTATGTGTTAGAGTAGAACTTTTAATTTGTCATGTCAGTAGCTAAACTTTAAAGTAGAAGTGATTTTCTGAGTTAAGATAAAATTCTGTGGTAGATGGGTCCAAAATTTGTCTACATGAATCCACATGTTTTATTGAATGCCTGTCTGTGCAGGCATTGCAGGAGGGGAAAAGATTAATTCATTTACCCATGCAATAAACATTTATTGATAATTTGTGTTGATTACTAAGCCTTCAGGCTACAAAAAACAAGTAAAATGATCCCTTTCTTGGAATTGCTCAGAACCTAGGAAGGGAGGCAGACAGTGAGAAAAATAATTACAAAGAAACAACATACCTGAGTATGAAAGAAGGTTCTGGCTCTGAGTTTACATAGCAGTTGATAAGAAGAAATAGAAATAAAAACTTTGGAAATTAGGGGCTGGGAAGGTGGCTCAGTGGTAGAGTGCTTGCCTTGCATGCCTGAGACCCTGGGTTCGATTCCTTAGCATCACATAAACAAAAAACAAAGCCGGAAGTGGCGCTGTGGCTCAAGTGGTAGAGCGCTAGCCTTGAGCTGAAGAGCTGAGGGACAGCACCCAGGCCCAGAGTTCAAGCCCACGAACTGGACCCAAAAACAACAAAAAAAAAACTTTGGAAATTATAAAATCTTAAGCAAAGTCTGCATTATACGGCATTAATGAAACAGTTTTTCAAGAAAGTTTAAATTTAGGCTGGGAAGGTGGCTCAGTGGTAGAGAGCTTGCCTTGCATGCCAGAGGCCCTAGGTTCGATTCCTCAGCACCACATAAGCAAAAAGAAAAAAGCCGGAAGTGGCGCTGTGG